GCTCAAGAAGGGGCGAGACGCAACTCTTTGACCATGCAGTTCTAGGATATGCTCGGCTTTCCCCGAAAATAATGATAGTTTTAAAGCATGGGGCATTTATTACATTCCAGGCACTATCCTGACAGTTTGCACACATCATAAAATGTAATCCTCCCAGAAGCCTTAGAGGAGACTGTTATTGTCTCCAGTTTACAAACAACGGAACTGAGGGAGATGAGGTGACATACTGGTCCCCGGCTCCCCAGGAGGATTCCAGATCATAGGTCTGATTCCAGATCTATGCCATGAGACTTTACGAAGCACATCCACACAGCCCTAACTCTGGAATAAATAACCTATCCAAATGTGCTTTCCTAGCACAGTTATTTTCATTCACCCATCCCCCTGAAGCCCGTGACAAAAAAGAGACCCCCTCCACCAGCTGCCTAAAGCTTCTGTTAGAATTTCCTTCAGCAAGTAGCTGGTCAGAGTTCTCCTGTCCCTCCCTCTCTCTCCCGTCCCTCCCTCTCTGTTGCCCTGCCGAGGTGTTGCTTCCGTGTGTTTCCCATTTCTGCTCTCTATCTCCCTCCGTCTCTCACTCTGTCTTTTGTTTCCTATTTGTTCTGCCTGTTTCTATGTCTGGTTCATTGTGTGTGAGAGAAAGAGAGAGGGAGAAAGGCAAATGGAACCAATATACCTTCTGTCAGCCCCACACATAGACAGCATTCAGCTAGATAGCTATTTGCTGCCAGCGTCAGCAAACAGCACTAAAAAAAGAATAAGGTCACCTTTGAAAGACCCCGAGAGAATGGAGTGCAGTCAGATTAGGAAAGCACTTACCTATTCTGGGATATGAGGACGGCGTGATTGCCCAGCCCCACTCGACCTGCTGTCAGCCACCCTGGTCGCTGATGTCTCTGTCATCTCATTCCCCAGATGGATCCCTGCAGAGACCCATCCAGTCAGAGATCCCTACCCTTGTGTTGGGCTCCCTCAGACGCAGCCCCACCGTGGTCGTGCGGCCTCAGCAGTTCCAGTTCTACCAGCCACAGGCGATCCCCTCTTCCCCCTCAGCAGGGGCAGTGGAGATGGGCCCCAAGCCTGCCCCCATGGGGGAGCCTGCCCTCACAGGCATCAGCAGGGGCAGTGACACAAGGAGCCACTCGGTGGCCAGCTCCCTCATCATGGAAGGCAAGGAGATTCCCATCAAGAGCGAGCCTTTGCCAAAACCACCCGCGTCTGCACCACCATCGATCCTGGTAAAACCAGAAAACTCAAGAAATGGAACAGAAAAGGTAAAAAGGGAGTGACGCTGGGAGCCTGGCTCTATAGACCCCCAATTTTACACCATGTCTCAGCTCCTGAGATTTCAGTGTAGGTGGACAAGGACCAAAATTGCATCTTCCAGAGCATCCTCACACCCAGCAAACACCCCCA